GCATGGTCATCATTTTATTACTTGTATGTTCTTACCCGCCTTATCGCGAGGAATTTTATGGCCCTTATACAGCCGCTTATCACAATCATTGTCCATATTTTTAGTAAGATGAAATGGCGCTCTTTGGCCAACAAATGGCCCTTGCGCCAAAAAACACCATATATCATCATGATTAACTTTGAACACCCCGTATATTTCCTCATAAAATAGGAATTGACACCTCGAGCAACTGGAGACAAGAGTGGAGGACAATGCGCACATTTGAGCTTAGAAACATTCCCGATATTCTATCATTTAAAAACACTTAGAGCTACCACAGAAGCGTACTCAAAACGTTCGACATCGCTCAACTGAAGGAGTGGTGCCAGTATGCCAGTAATGTAAGATTGTTCGAGGGCTTATGACACAAGACAACGAATGGCTTCACCACTTTCAATTGTTTTCATTATTTGCTGCCGATTATTGGGACGCGCATGTAGGGCCACTATTTCTTCCGATTTGAAAGACAGTGCACGTATTTTACTTTTGGACGTTTTCTTGCTTATGTACCAACTCGCAGCATCTGGGCTGTAGGAGCGACACTTTAGGTTGCGTGTATTTTTCTTCCATACTGTCTAGATAATACAAATGAAGCGAGATAAAACTATCATTGCACGTCAAAGCATAAGGTTCTCCAAATGTGCTCTACAAATGAACCTAAAACTAGTTCTACGCAGATGATGTCTTCACTGCACAAAGTTATTTGATGCGGGAAAGGCCGATTTTGAACGAGCCAGTGAAGGTCTTTTTTTTTTTAATCTATCAAGGTACACAGCTTTTCACAGAGACAACTCAGTCTATTTGTGAATCAGCGAAACTTAAATTTATTGACTGATTGATTGGTCGATTGATTGATCAATTGATTGATTTATTTATTGATTTATTATGATGAGTAGGTCGGACAGTTCTAAATTGTGGTGTTCAGCGCAATGAGTTGGGTGCAACAACATTTTTTGTTGCATAACAGTAACGTAAAAGTGTGAACAGAGAGCGCAGCCCATATTTTCTTACTCTTTGCATACTTCTTGGAAGCACAACCCATTCCAAGCACAGACAAAAAAATGGTCTGCGTCTGATAAAACAGCCGATTCCGATCTGTTCTGAAGTACCGCTGCAATCAGATCAACAAGCTCTCGCCGCTGATATCGTTACAGGCTATTCAGGACATGTTCCTTGGATACGTGCACGCACCTGGTTTGTGCAGCGGAAGCAGGTGTATGACTTGCTCTCTTCTCGGAAAGCTGATCATTTTTTTGGTAAACAGATTTCAATTGCTCTCCACAGTTCTTTCTTCGCGTGTGCATTTTCTCCTTCGTTATAATAAACACCAACCTGAGAGCGTGTCCTACTTGAATGCGGTGGTCTTTGCAGTGCTCGTGTAGCAGTTGTGCTCGGCTGGGGACCCTCTGGTCGCTAGTTCGATGCCGGCCGTGGCTGTCGCATTACTATAAGCGAAGTGCTGAAGGTCTCTGTGCTGTGCGATGTCAGTTCATGTTAAAGACCACCAGATGGTCGAAATTTTCGGAGTCATTCACTACGGTGTCCTTTATAATCATATCGCAAATCGCGTAAGTAAAACCTTACATATTATTATTATTATTATTATTATTATTATTATTATTATTATTATTATTATTATTATTATTATTATTATTATTATTATTATATTATTATTATTATTATTATTATTATTATTATATTATTATTATTATTATTATTATTATTATTATTATTATTATGGATGCGGTGTTAAATTACATCCTTCCATTTTACTTAAGCTGAACCTGCCGCCAAGAGTTGTGAGAAGCAATTCTTGAAGGCAGTCGCTGAATCTACGATTAAGACAGTATAAAGCAGGGGTCAACAATTTGCGGCCCGCGGAGCAGTTTTATGCGACCCCCGACCCGATATCAGAAGGCCCCCTCCTCTCCTCTGTCAAGTTCTATACAAGGCTTGCACGGAAATTTGGACCTCAAACACGGTTTTCGCTTGCAACCTATGTTTGAAAAATTGCAATTTCGCGACACGTGGGCAGGTAGTAAACATAATTTTATTCCATTTTCGCTCATTAGTGTCAATTCGCAAATTTTTCTCTACTTGTTCCCTCCCCCCCCCCCCCCTCAGTTTGCCATTGGGCCCCCACTGCGTCGACTTCACGCAAACTTGGCCCTTCACCTCAAAACTTTGCCGTCTGGTCTAAAAGATGTGAAAAAAAAAACATACGCACTTCGTGTAAGGAAGAACTGCCCGACGTGAGATGGCTGAAAGCTAAATTTTCCGCACTTTAGGAAACGTTCTACAGCATTACTCCTTGAAAGCAATGACTCAGGGTCTATCTCGATGAAATGATGTTATCTAAAAAGAAAGGTACAAATAATCAAAAATTGAAACTAAGCGCTTCAAAACGGCAATGTTTTTTGTTGTTGTAGTTTTTTTTTTCGCCCACCACCCAGACAGCGAGGCAATTTCCAACGAACCACTCACGAATAGTTCGAATCGAAGGACACAAAAATGCTACTTTCCTTCATCTCATTCAGCCTCTCTCACATAAGGCATGGGCGAAGAACCCGTTGCCTGGTTGCGCACGCCGCCAACGTATGCCCCCCTTGGGAGGAGCTCGGTGCGCGTGGAACAAATTAGAGGACAAAATGGCGGACAAATCGCGACAATCCCCTCCTCCTTGCTTATTAGACAGCGGGTTTTTTCCTTGGCTGTGGTGGCTCTCAAATGTATCGCTCCCTTCCCTCCTGTCTCGCCATCTTTTTCTCTGGTTCGCATTTTGTTTTGTTTTTTGTTTGTTTTTCTTTCTTTTTCTTGTAGGTGTCTTCGCATTGGCGTCTCGTTCGAATCGGCCATACCCGAAGCCTCTCCTCCCGTATGCTTCTTGGTTCCGACTTTTCCAGCTCCGCACGAATGCCTTCCCATTTGTCCTGCGTCACGGTGGACGACTTTCCGTTCCCTAGAGGTCCAGTGCAGCCTAGCACGACACCGATCGGCGGTTGTGACGTTCACTGCCGTCCGATAGGGAATGCAATTCCCCGTTTCCTACATTTACGATGCCGCAAAAGCATGCATTCGCGAGCCTTGCCAACCGAGGCTCCGTCTTGACCCGTCTTCGCAATCTACTAACGTCCCTAGGTATACTATCAGGGTCAACTTTACCGATTTTTCTCGGTAATCACTTTCAAAGGGACTCATATTGGCCTGCACTTAGCTTTGAGTGCCTGTGAACAAATAAACATAGTTGGTAGTGGTGCAATTAGCGCGAATAATAATATGACTTTTTCTTGTTTTCAAACTTTTTTGAGGGGAGGGGGCATTGGTAAACTTTAGGAGTTCCAGGCGGTATTTTTCGTGCTCGAACCAGAGCGATGCCAAAGCCTCCTTGCATCTACTTCAGCTCGCGTAGCCGTACTTTGCCGTTCTCAACCCCCTGTAGCAGGAAATTGAACAAGAGGTCTTGGTACAACTAAATTTTATATATACATTAACTACAAGAATAATGTTCAGTCTAGAACACAATGGCGAATGTGCACAGGCAGTTCTTGCCCAAGAGCGGCACATGACTCAAGTACACCCGCCTGCGACTCTGGCCCGTCAGCCTCATTGCTCTCCTTCTGCCCCCTTTCGATACAATTACTGTGACGTACGTACGAAATTTCAGAACTTTTGGATGAGAGATCGATAACAATCATTACGTTACAGTCATGTGATATAAACGTGCAGTTCATGAGAAGCGCAGACACCGACCATCTGAAGATTACTAATGAAGAATCACGGGACTTGCCGAATAAGTCCGACAGTGGGAAAAAAAACAAGCATGTCATATCGCACCCATTGTCTTAGACTACATTGTTAACATGATGTCCTTGTATACCAGTATTTTCTAGCTTCATACGCCCCCCAAAAAAATATCGCGCGATTAGCATTATTAGTAACTACCACATGTCGATGTTGTCATCTATCGCAACATAAAATGACAAACACAATGTTAGTTTTGCTAAAAGCCACATACCCATATACAATTGGACAACTCTCGATTACGCCAATGACACAAATATCTAGCTTGATTAGGTAACATACCAGTGGATGATGAAATGGTCTTTGTTGATGCAATTTTCAAACATTAGCATTGCTGTCCTGCATACTTGTCGCAATAAGTGAAAATCTTTACTACATGCACCCATATGTGCGCACATGGTAGATATGCCTTAAGACCGCTAAATCTACACCTCAAGAGGGGAAATCCGTGCTGGCTAGCTCAAAATCGGTGCCAGCTGATATGTCGGGATTGAAGCCCAACAATAGCCACATAATCTCTTTACTGTGGGCCCATATTCGCGCAAGATAACCACCTAGTCCTATAGTTCAAGGAATGTTGTTTTATTTTTTCCTCTGGCAATCAAGAAAGCGTTACTTGTGAAATTCTAAAATGTACGTCTGGTTGGCAATCATTCAAAACAGCAGCAGGAGGTGGCCTTTCGTTTGCTCAGGTCAGGGTTGAAATCCGATCGAATGTTAATGGCAATTCAAACATGCGAAGTACGGCAAGCAAGGGC